GGGAAGGAAGATGGGAAGACGAGGGGCGGGGGATTCGGGGAAGAAGAGCCCCAGGGGGAATAAGCCGGGGACGAAGATGGGATGAAACGTGGGACGGAAGGGAGGGAGAAGGCGCGGGGAATGTGGGAAGGAGGAGAAAATGGCAGAGAGAACAAGATGGCAAGTAGGAGGAGGCGGAGAAGATGGCAGGAGGAGGGACTTCAAGATGGTAAGGAGCTGGAGTAGTGGGGGAAGGAGAGGGGAAGAGGAGGATGAAGAAGATAACATGGCAAGGTTGTGTGTAAATGTGTGAGGAGGAGGAAGGAAGAACATGGCAAGGAGCAAGAGGAGGCATGGAGGAACGCGGGGGGAACCTGGGGGGGAAGGAACAGGGGAAGGCGAGGGGTAGGGGATTCGGGGAAGAAGAACCTCAGGGGGAAAAAGGCGGGGTCGAATATGGGATGAAACGCGGGACGGAAAGGAGGGAAAAGGCGTGGATGCGGATGGGATGGAACGCGAGACGGAAGAGAGGGAGAAGGCGCGGGGAATGTGCGAAGGAGGAGAAGATAGCAGGAAGAAGAAGATGACAAGTAGGAGAAGGAAAGGGGATGGAGGAGTAAGATGGTAAGGAGCTGGACTAGTAGCAGAAGGAAAGGGGAAGAGGAGGAGTAAGAAGATAACATGGCAAGGTTGTGTGTGTATGTGTGAGGAGGAGGAAGGAAGAACATGGCAAGGAGGAAGACGAGGCATGGAGGAGCCGAAGGATACAGGCAAAACATTCCTCCCAGAAAACGATTAAATAAAACATATCAGGCAGGTTACAAACACAGTCCTCAATCCCTACATCCACGCAAGGAAGAGGACCTTTTTGCTGTCGTTCTTGCCTGGACTCAAGATTCTAGGGCTCTGTCTGTAACCTTGGCTGAGGAGGAGGACGATGTAAAGAAGATGGATGATATAGGCCTACATTCGCCTTTGCAAATGACACGAACGAAACAAGTCAGCCAGGTTACAAATACAGTCCCACTACATGTTTTTCTCCCCCGACCACTACAAGTTCTTCTCAGACCTTTAAGAAACTGTATTTTTCATTTTGCTGTCATTGTTATTTGAATCGGAATTATAGGGCTATATCTTTAACCTTGGTTGTGGAGCAAGAACATGGAAAGATGGGTAAGGATACAGGCCTACATCTTTCTAACAAAATGACAGAATTACAAGAAATCTGACAACTTATTAATAAAACTATAAATTTGTCCTGCTTCGGTCCTCGAAGGAGTGTATTTCTTATTTATTTGTAATCCAAGTTTATAGCGCTATACTTTTAAAAATAGCAGTTTAAGATTTCGAAAAACATGCAAATCATAAGAGTTATTCTTACAACGAAATTAGCAAATACAATTATTTTTTCTCTCTCTCTCTCTCTCTCTCTCTCTCTCTCTCTCTCTCTCTCTCTTTCTCTCTCTCTCTCTCTCT